CATGTGACTGTACCCCCCACTAGGAGGGCAGGTAAAGTAGGTCAGGAATGGTCATGTGACTGTACCCCCCACTAGGAGGGTGGGTGGAGTCAGGGAGCTCTCCAAGGCTTGCTTGCTGAAACCTGGCTCCAGGTGTAACTAGAGACCCTGTCTCAAAGCATATGACAAAGGGCAGTAGAGCAGGCCATCCAGCTGCCTCTTCTGGCCTCTGTGTGCACATGTGGGTGCGTTCACACACACACGCATATACACACATGTAGCACATATATGCCACACACACACAGAGAAGAGAGTAAACGTGGGGATCATGAATGGGCTATTCACATTCATGTGTGACAAATACAGCAGGTCACACTGGTGTGCGGGAGGGCAGCTTCACTCCCTATGACCAGGGGTAGGAGTGCCACCTGTCATTGCCGTGTTTCACACACAATAGCTTCCAAATAAGGTGTAGCTGGGAATTACCTCTCAAAAATTATAGTTGAAAATTATCTCTAAAAAGGATTTGGAACCAAGTGGTGGTGACACACGCCTTTAATCCCAGCACTTGGGAGGCAGAAGCAGGTGGATCTCTGTGAGTTCGAGGCCAGCCTGGTCTACAAAAGCTAGTTCCAGGACAGGCTCCAAAGCTACAGAGAAACCCTGACTTAAAAAAACAAAAAAACAAAGGAAACAAAAAGTCATAAAAGAATTCCTTTGTATATGTGTATGTGTGTTCATTTGTTTGTATAAGTGCTCATGTGTGTGTGTATTTATAGGTATGTGTGTGTGAGTGCATGTGAGTGTCCATGTGTGTGTGTAAGTGTACACGTGTGTCCGTGTCTGTACACACATGTGGCAGAGGTAGAGGTGGGGTTTCTTTCTCCATCGCTCTAAACCTTAGTTGTTTTAATGGCAAAAATCAAGGTCTCGTTGAGCAGAAGCAACGGATTGGCCCTAAAAATGGCCTCTTGCTGCCAAGCCTGACGCCCTGAGTTTGACCCCCAGGGTGCAGGAGGTGGAAGGAAAGACTGAATCCCGAAGGAAAGCTGTCTCCTGACCTCCACATGCACGCTGCGTGTGTGACGCACCTGCTCACGCACACACTAATTAGTTAATTAATTTTCAAGAAAAGGGAAGACCGCAGGACAGACCTCCAGGCCCTGTCCTCTTTTAAACATTTTCTGGACTTTTTAAAGCCTCCTCAGCACCCAGCATTCTTCTCCGTGAACGGAGCCCCTTTTATCACCTGCATGTGTCTTTGTAATGACAACAAGAAAAAAGGAAGGAATAGAAAACAATGAAGACGGCGATGTTCTCCTGAGAATTCAGACAGACAAGCATGATGAAGCCCAGCTGAGAGCCCGGAGGAACCTTAGTCCACCACACAGTGCGCCTCCAACACACTAAAGGGTCCTCTTTGGTTTACCGTTTCGTTTTTGACTTTTTTTTTTTTAACAAGACCTCCTGTGCTCCAGGCTGGCCTCAAACTCACTATGTAACCAAGGATGGCTTTTATTGAACTTGATCCTCTGCCTCCTGATGCTGGGGTGACAGGCGTGTGTCACAGGGTAAAAGGTGTGTGTCACAACACCTGGTTCATGCAGTGCTGGGGTCGGGCCAGGGCTTCCTGCACATTAGGAAGATTCTACCAGCTGAGTCACACCCCCAGCCTGCTTTCTCGCTTTTCTGACTGGGATCATTCTGCAAAGGCCGCCGGAGAGAGGCTTCCAGGGGCCAGGACTTGGACCCACCCAGACCATCTGATACCCACTTCCCGAGCACCAAGGGCCAAGGCTGGTTTTGATACCTCCCAGGGTGTACAATGCACTTATAAAGTCACAGACGTCGGCAGTTTTGGAAGCCTCCCCTCTCTTCAGAAAGACCTATGGCCTCCATTGCTCGACCTCACCACCATAAAAAGAAATAAAGGTGGGCGAAAGGCTGCCGAGTTCCCATGGAGACCATGCCCAGCAGGGATGAAAAGCAGATTCAGTTACAGAGGGAAGATGTATGCCCTCTCGCCTACTTCCTGTGGGGATCATTCTAGAATCAAAGTCGTCCTGAGTACTAAGAGCTCTCAAAGAGCTTGATATATAGGCACTTGTGTGTATGTGTGTGTGTGGTCATTTGTGTATGTGGGTATATATGGGTGTGTGTGCAGGCGTATACGTGTATGTGTGTGTGTGTGTGTGTATGTGTGTATGTGTATGTATTCATGGGTGTGAACGAGCCCTCCAAAAGCTACCCTGGTTCTTTCACCACACCTCATTTCTCAATCTATTCTAAGTCCATCAATTTCTTCTTTCCGATGCTGGTCACAGACCATTAAATTGATATCACCATCTACTAATGGCTCCTAACCTCAGACTTAAAAGCATGAACCTATTCCCACTTTTTGGTCAACCAACAGGAGAGAAGAGCCTCCCCAGGGTCAAAGCCACGATCCCAAGATTACTTCCTGGCAGAAGCCAGGACCAGCTTAGAACATGCTAAGTATGGGCTGATGTTACCCACCGAGTCTCATTGTTAGAACTCAGTGACCACAATCCCTCCCTTCACAGCTTCCTTGGAGTGACTCTTGGGGTCTCTGGAGTTGGCCAGGAACCTGTCTCCTTAAGGATCTCACTGACCCAGACAGAAGACCATCATAAGCAGAGTTTAGCCCTCTACGTCCTGATGTGGAATCCCAGTACCACTGAAGCTGACTGGGTCCTTGAGGAAGAAGGGAGAGAGGCTACCTTGAAAACACAAAAAGACAGCCTCTCGCAAGGTAGATAAAATCATAGGTCAGGGCTAGAGAGATGGCTCAGTGGTTAAGACCACTGATTGCTCTTCCAGAGGACCTGTATTCAATTCCCAGCAACCACATGGCAGCTCAAACCATCTATAGTGGTATCTGATGCCCTCTTCTGGCATAAAGGTATACATGCAGAAAAAGCACTCATATACATAAAATAAACAAATACATCTTTTTTCAAAACTTGCCATAGGTCTACTGGTGCCCCCAACCTTCAACAAAGCACTCCAGACAACAGAGGATGCTGAGAGCAGAAGAAATAGCCTTCCCTGGGGAAGAGCACGCCAACTGGTTATCCAGTACCAGATGCACAGTTCTAAAGACTTATGCATACAGGTAACATTGGATAGAGTCTGCAGGTTATATTTATGTATTTAGGAATGTATGTATATATA